CAGCCTGTATTTTGCCCTCAGCTTGCCCCAAGCTCCCTTCCCTCATCACTATCATGTCCCATCACCTGTCATAGTTGATCTGGGGACAGCTCTATGCGTGTGTCTGTGATTTTAGGGACTTTTACTTTTTTTTTTTTCTTATTGACCTGACCTATTTTCTCTCTACCTCTACTGCATAATTTTACTTAACTGTATTTAGTACATTGATGTGGCAGAACTTCGTAAGTTTTTGCCAGTACTGGCTGAGAACCTGTGTAAACCTACGATTTACTCAAGCCTTTTATAAATAAAATTGGTAAAATTCAGTGTCCTCAAGAAGGACACAGGCCAAGGAGAGGCAGCTAAAATATCCAAAGCGTTAGGTGGGTTATGTGGTTATTGTGGTCATACAATTATGACCAATATTTCTGCCAGTCAGTTTGGGGTATCAGAATGAGGCCAGGGCCGAGGGATGAATGGAACAACAATATAGCCTTCAAGGGGAAGGGTCTTCCCCTATGTGTTCATCATTATATTTCCCCCTCCTATTTACCGGGAGCTACTACTTTTTTTCAAAACAACCCTAGTAGGGGTGCCTGGGTGGTGCAGTTGGTTAAGCATCTGGCTCTTATTTTAGGTCAGGTCAGGATTTCACAGTTTGTAAGAACGGGCCCCAAACCTGCTTGGGATTCTCTCTGCCCATCCTCCACTCACAAGCGCGCATACGTGTGCACTCTCTCTCAAAAATAAATAAGCTTAAAAAACAAAACAAAACTCTAGTATATTGGGCTGGAATGCCATGTGATGGAGGTACACCTAGACCCTATTTTGTTATTGCATTATATCTCTCCTTTACCTCTGCGTCTCCTTAAAGGCCTCCCTCCCCAAAGGACAACATAGTGTGGAATTACAGTCATCAAGAGAATTTTGAAGTTCACCTATAGGGGCACTTGAAACAAGGCCAGAGCCATTTCTCAGAATATCTGCTGACCCCGTACAGGTCATCAAAAGGCAGGATTAGTCCAGTTTAACTGGTTGCTTGATCATGAGAACATAGTCCATAAGCATGAATCCCTGTTTATGGTAGCATAGTGTCTGTGACCTTGAATTTTCCCTATCTGTGCTTGCCGAAAGCTTAGAAGTCCTCAATAAAAATAATGACTACAGAAAGCAGAAGAGCAACTAGATAGATTTGTCTTTGTTTTATGGTTTTACACATCTAAAGAGGAACATGACCTTTATCATTTTAAAAATAAAAACTCTCTTCCTTATTTTCTTTATCAGGAAACACTGTAGGCAGTCTCAGACAATTGTCTAAGGTTCCAGACTATGTCTGAGCTGGAGAAAAGGGACCATGTGGCAGATGTCTGACTACTTCTGTGTAGTCTTTTTGTGGGGTCTGATCTCCATAGTCCCTATGATTATTGTTTCTTATCCATCATTGTACAGTACCAGGAAAATAAAAAAGAATTTGAGGTTTAGAATAAATCCATTAAAAGGAAAGTCAATGCTAAGACTCAGAATGGGCATCAGAATTTAGCCTTCTTGCCAATTTCCCAACTTCTGTTCATAAATTCATGTTTATTTTGCTGAAGATGCTAGACTTTGCAAAGAATCTGGCCCTCTCGGTGCTTTACAGTGTGCCTGTTTTGAGAGGAATAGAGAAAACTTCTTTTTTGATGATCCTCAGAAGTAGACTGAGAAATAATTAGACCCTTGAATACAGGGATGTTCTAGAACCTATTTTTATAAATGCTGCACAATACTTACTAAGTGGGGGAAAGGGAAAGACAGAACAAAATACAAAGCTATGTGGCATTCAGCATAGAATGTGCCATCTCATTTTCCATATCTGAGAGTATTCAGGGCAATACAAACAAGTTGGCATATAGCTGACTTCAAGTATACAACTGAAGATAAGATAGAAAGTGAATAGTGTAAAGCCTTCTGAGAAATAAACTTCTTATACTCTGTATGAACTAAGTTCTGTAGAAGCTTATGCTTGCTTGCTTGCTTGCTTGCTTGCTTGATTGATTGATTTCTGTAGTCAGATCCTAAACCTTTCTCTTGTATTTCCTGAAAGATCCAGGGACTTGTCTATGCTAGAAGGAACTATTTCAAACCAGAGCAATTCTGAACTATACACATGAGTGTCGAGAGCCACTTTGTGTTCTCGGTTAGGAGACAGGATAAGCAGAAAGGGCCTTGAATGTGGTCTTGGCTAGAATACTTTGTAGGAGAAAAGCAAGCATAATATTTTGGTTGTGTCTTCTCCCACAAAGTTTATCCATTGGATTTTCCTGATCTAACGTCTTTTATCTCCTCATATTCCACGGAATGACAACACTACCACTTGTCAGGCACTCTGCTAGATGCTTTAAGCCTTTTATCTCATGTCACCCTCCCAGTAGCCCTCCACGTTCTACTGGCCAGGAACCAGCTCCAGAGAGGGTGAGTGAGTCTCCCAGGTTGTACAACCAGAGCACCTTCAAAATTCTTTGACTATGTTTCCAGCTGTGTAGTTGAGCTCATCACTCTGTTATCTAAAGTGAAGGTGCTTCTCCAGCACGGGTCCCTCATGAACTCTGTCAGAGAAAATTAGTTGACCTGAATTGCAAAATAAACAGAAGTACTATATTCCTAATTTTTTCATCTAGCTATACACTCAGCTTGGTAAATAAATATTGGAGATGGATTTTATTGTGGATTGAAAGCTAGGAATACTCAGATTTTTTTTTTTTTTCAGTTTTATCCTTGAGTGATATATTCAGATTATTTTTTTTGGTTGGTATTCTTTATAAATAATTTGTAAATTTGATGAAGTAGAAGGATAAAGATAAGAAGAGAAGTGAATGATAGGTTTTTACAAATCAAGAAAATTGCATAAAAGAACTATAGCTACTTTGTAGACCTTGAACCTAGTTCTTGGAGACAGTGAGGTGGAGCTATATTAGAGAAAAAAGTTCTTGGACAGCAGCAAGTAGTTCAAGTTGGCTGTGGAGTTGAGAGAAGCTTGAATAAACCAAAGACAAAAGAGCACAACTCATGATTAAACCATTTTTTTCAGATTACAAATTGAAACAGCAAATGATATTGCTGTGCCACTATTCTTTGATTTATTCTCAATTCAGTACCCATTTTTATTCTGGAAGAAGCTGAGCTTGGATCTTCTTAGATTAAAGCTATTGAAAGAAACAGACTTACACTAACCAACTGCCAGTTTACCTCCTGTAAGTAGAATTTCTCTTCTGAAGAGAAGGGGTTAGATGTGTTTGATTGCTATAGAAGATGAATTATCCAAACCCATAGGACACAGCACTGAAAAGTCAAGTAGGAAGAGAAAAGAATATAATTGCTTTTATTTTTGATGCTTTAATAATCAATTTCTAAGATATATATATATATATATATATATATATTCCCATGGCATTTTTGCTGGAACAGACTTGTAGTGAGCCCAGGATTGGTTTGAGTTTGCGTCTGCAGTGTATGTATATACATTAATCCACCAGATTTGTACCTTCCTATTCATACACTATGGGGCAAGCCTTGCATAGGATTCCATTACAAGAAATCTATTGTCCACTCACAGTGAAAGAAAATAGATTCTATTCCTGCTCTATTTCCTAGTATGTTTGAAAGTGAAATTTATCCTACAAAGATGACATTTAAAACAGGTGCATACTTTGAAAGGCGTTCTTTAGATTTGGACAGATGAATTATCGGGCCAGTGATATGTCTGAAGAGATTTGATGATAGGTCTTCATCGAGCAGGTGTCTCTAACTATAATGAGGTACCTAAACAAGTAGGAACCTGTGGGTCTTAAAATGTTAATGGGAAGAATATGTGAAAGTTCATCAAGGATTTCAAGGGTGCAAATCTTTAGTTTGTGGTGCTAAGATCTTGCTTTTTAAACTGCTCTTTACATGTCTTCTTATGCCCAAAATGAAAAGTTAAAACTGTTCGGTTTCCCTGTTTAGCTTTTAGCATTGAGGCTCCTTGGAGAAAGACTGTATGTCTGGTTCATCTCTGTATCTTATTTCCCTCAGTCTTTTACACCAGAAGACACTGCAAATAATCACTGAATCAGTGGCCAGGATTCGGGTTGATAATGTGAAATGAAGTTATCCTTTATGGTTTTCTTTTGTTATAATCACTTTTCAAACTCTTCTTGGAAGAGAACAAACTGTGACTTGTACTTGAGTCTCTTTATGAGGATGTGTTCTCAGTCTTTCTGGCTGGCAAAAGTCTTCTCATGCTTGCTTTGCTGCACTTGCTCGGCTCAAAAACGATAATCTGTCGTCACTCGGATACCAGTGCTCTCTCCCTTCTACCGTGATTCTTTTATCCGAAAACTGCTGCCCACTTACATTTCTCCCATCACTGAAATTTTCTGGGTGCCGTTGTGTTGATTATTTTTGTGTGTATTCTGTTTTTACTCTGTGCTATAAAAATTTTATGGACAAAGAGCCTGTTACAGATGTCCTTTATGTCCATGGTATTAATAATACCAGATTGTCAAGCTCTATAATTATGAAATAATATAGTGTCTGGCATGAAAATTACTTAAATTCAGAGTTGAACTTTGATTGTCCCTTACTGATACTTTGCCTCGTCTTTTGCTGGAAATACAAGCCTGTTTCTTAAGCTTGCTGTCATAGAATCATGAGACGGGAGTTTGAAGAGGGGAAAATAGGTGACTGAATATTTGTGCTTTTAAGTTAGACATACATAACTCCCTGAATCTAAAAAGATTTCCTGGTCTAAGATATGCCTTTTTCCACCTCCTAGTAATGCTGCCGTATTACCCTATTTCCTTCACAGCACTAATCACGCCATGAAATTGTTCTGTTTACTTTGTCATTTCTCTCTCCATGAGGTACCTCGTTTGTCTTATTCACAGAATCACTAGCACTTAGCTCAGAGTTTGGCACATAGTAGGAGCTTGATAAATATTGATTGATTGAATGAGAGGCACACTCAGGCTGAGGAATTTCTAAAGCACGCTTTTCCTCCACAGGCTGGAGTTGAGGGACACATAAAGAGAATCCACCAACACCTCACTCTCAGCTTCCCACTCTCTACCCCCACCCCAGCTACAGGAGTTTTTGCTCCTTGGTTTATGTCCCAGGTGGACTTTTGCAGTAAACCAGTAATGTGACAGTAAAGACACAAGGCTGAATATCCAGTCGTCTGGACTTAATTTAATATAGAATATTCAATTTATACCTGTTTTCAGTGTTCTTAGCTCTAATGCTCAGCTAAGGTTGAAATTGTATCTTCTGAGCACATTGCTTGCCTAGGGCAGTAATAGACCTTTTCTTCAAGTTTAAATTAGCTGAAGGCTGGTTGTCCTATACGTGAAGATGCATTCTTAATCTCTTGATAAAACACAGGCCATCCAATTAGGTGAATTATTTGAAGTACTTTTTTTTTTTAATCTACTGACATTTATGGTTAGAAAGCCTTAGAGAAGTTAAATTTCATTAATGACATCAATCTGTCCATTATACAAATTGTTTCTTGCAACCCAAAGAAACTACTTTTCTTTTTATGTTTAAATTTAGATGTACTTTGAACATACCTATCAAAAGAGCAATTCTGCAGAGTAAGGGTTAAGTTTCTGAAACCCTAGGCGCAAATCCCTTGTGCACCAGTCCTCAAAGGTAATCTCTATTGGATGAAATCCCACATAAACAAATAGTTATCAAGAATCAAGATTTTAGGGGCACCTGGGTGGCTCAGTCCGTTAAGCGTCCAACTTCGGCTCAGGTCATGATCTTACAGTTTGAGGGTTCAAGCCCCACATCTGCCTCTGTGCTGACAGGTCAGAGCCTGGAGCCTGCTTCAGATCCTGTGTCTCCCTCTGTCTCTGCCCCTCCCCCACTCGTTCTCTCTCTCTCTCTCTCTCTCTCTCTCTCTCTCTCTCTTTCAGAATAAACAAACATTTAAAAAATAAGGTGTATAAAAATAACAAAATTTAAAAGATAATCAAGATTTTATATCATGAAGTCAGTATATATAATTCTTTTTCTTTAAAGAATCTTCTGCCGAGTCTCAACTTTTCCTGCAATCGTGGACCATTCCCACCATACGGGCACAAGCCATATGGCCGACAACAGTACAACGGCGCCTCCTCACCACCACCACCACCCGACTACTTCGGCCCACCACTCTCATGGCGGGGGAATGGACGGTATGATGATGGTGAGTACCTCAGGAGAGGCGGCCCTTTTACCCCCACTTGGGTAATAGACTGGCAAGTTATCATCTTTAAAGATCAGTTTACTGATGAGGAAAAGCTGAGACGGACTCAGACAAGACCAGTGATTTGCCCAAGATCACGTGGCAGGTTAATTTCAGAGCCACACCAGCACCAGGATTTCTGGGGCTCTTGTGTATTCCTTCCATTCAAAATTGACCCTTTTCTGAATTAAGTTCTGCTTTGTGTGGAAAAGAGAAAAGGACAGTGCATTTATCACGATGAACGCTGAGTAATGTGTAGAATTGTTGAGTCACTATATTGTGTACCTGAAACTAATATAACACCGTCTGTTGACTACACTGGAATTAAAATTAGAAAGAGAGAGAGAAGTTGGTGGTAGGGACAAGGAAGAATACTTGTAGAGCGTGTCTGTGGTGATTGTGCTAAAATGAAGTAGAGAGCCTCCTACTTCAGTGAAAGTCTCTTACAATCCAGAACTGATACTTTCAAATGCTCTAAGCTTCTTTACCTGAAATCTCTAATTGACTTGTTTTGGTTTTCTGGCAGTCTATGACCTTCTACTTTGGCTTTAAGAATGTGGAACTGTTATTTTCTGGTTTGGTGATCAATACAGCTGGAGGTGAGTAAACCATCATCAGGTGGTATTCGAGAATGACACATGAGAGGCAGTGACAAAGAATCTAGAAACCCAGCAGCTTTTTCTGCCATAATTACTGAATGGTTATGGTTATGATACATAATCATCTTCCTATTAACTGCCTAGAAGGTAAGGATACACAATGCTTATTTTGGTCCTACAGTAAACCTTCCTTAAGTAACATGTTTTAGAGTTTCTGAAAAATAATTATTTACATACCAGATAGGAGTCTTTTTGCAATCCATTTCCTTTCATCCTTTTCTAGAGTGCTTCCTTATTTGATAAGTTATTGATCCTGGACGTAAGACTGTAGTCAAGGTAAAATGACATAAGGGGGTGCCTGGGTGGCTCAGTCGGTTGATCATCTGACTTCAGCTCAGGTCATGATCTCACAGTTTGTGGGTTCAAGCCCCACATTGGGCTTTGCTTTGATAGTGTGGAGCCTGCTTCAGATTCTCTGTCTGCGCCTCTCTCTCTCTCTCTCTCTCTCTCTCTCTCTCTCTCTCCCTGCCCCCTCAAAAATAAACATTTAGTGGGGCGCCTGGGTGGCGCAGTCGGTTAAGCGTCCGACTTCAGCCAGGTCACGATCTCGCGGTCCGTGAGTTCGAGCCCCGCGTCAGGCTCTGGGCTGATGGCTCGGAGCCTGGAGCCGGTTTCCGATTCTGTGTCTCCCTCTCTTTCTGCCCCTCCCCCGTTCGTGCTCTGTCTCTCTCTGTCTCAAAAATAAATAAACGTTGAAAAAAAAAAATTAAAAAAAAATAAAATAAAATAAAATAAACATTTAGAAAAATGACATAAGCATTTTGCATAAACCACAAAATAACCCTAGGTAGAAAACTATTGATCCAGTATAGTCCTTCCATTTTATATGGATAGATACATTAAGGGTCAAACGCTGAAATGATTAGCCCTAAATCACATAGCATTAGTATGTCAGAGATAGGACAGGGATCTAGACTTTCTAGACCTCCCTACTCCTGTGCTCTTTCTAGCATACCAAACCGGTCTACATCATTCCTGATTCTTGGCATGGCTCATCTTAGGGTCATTCCTACTTTGCAGATAACTAATACCCATTTCTGTGTGTCTGTAATGTTAAGTGGGTATGCCTTAAATTCAAATTGCTCAAGTTCAATCATCAGTTGAACTGCTTTCAGAAGGTATATCTTTGGAGCCACAAAATCAATTTGGAGAAAAGGGGAAGCATTTAGTTCAAGTAGTGTGTTAAATCTGGAGTTTGAGTATATTCGTATGATTATTAACAATGTGAAAGACTTAGAACTAAAATGTTTATTCAAGAAATAGCACTTTATTGGGGTTCCTGGGTGTCTCAGTCAGTTAAGTGCCGTCTCTTGATTTTGGCTCAGGTCATGATCTCACACTTAGTGACTTTGAGCCCCGCGTTGGGCTCTGCACTGTCAGTGCAGAGCCTGCTTGGGATTCTCTCTCTCTGTCCCTCCCCCATTTGTGCGCTCTCTCTCTCTCTCTTTCTCTCTCTCTCTCTGTCTCTCTCTCTCTTTCTCTCTCTCTCTGTTTCTCTCTCTCTCTCTCTCTCTGTCTCTCTCTCTCTTTCTCTCTCTCTCTCTCTCAAAATAAACTTTAGAAGAAAGAAAGAGCACTTTGTTTTTAAGTTTTTAAAATTCTAGTTACTTAACGTACAGTCTTATATTAGTTTCAGATGTACAATACAATGATTCAGTAGTTCCATACAACACCCTGTGCTCATCACAAGTGTATTCCATAATCCCCATCCCCTTTTTCACCCATCCCCCCTTCAACCCCCTCCCCTCTAGTAACCATCAGCTTGTTCTCTATAGTTGAGTCTGTTTTCGGGTGCCTGGGTGGCTCAGTTAGTTAAGTATCTGACTTCGGCTCAGCCCCACATCAGCCTCTCTTTTGTTAGCACAGAGCTGAGCCCGCTTCAGATCCCCTGTCCTCTTCTCGCTGCCCTCCCCCACGTCCCCTCCCCACTCCCCCATCTCAAAAATAAATAAACATTAAAAATATTTGTTTTACAATGTTTTGTGTTTTTTTTTAAGTTACTTGATTTATTTTGAGAGCCAGGGGAGAGAGAGAGCACACATGCAAGTGGAGGAGGGGCAGACAAAGACAGGAGAGAGAGAGAGAGAGAGAGAGAGAGAGAGAGAGAGAGAGAATCCCAAGCGGGCTCCATTCGGTGCAGAGTCCAACCAACACGGGGCTTGAACTCATGAACTACGATATCATGACCTGAGTCAAAAGCAAGAGTTAGACACTTAACTTACTGAGCCACCCAGCCACCTGAAGAGTCTGTTTCTTGATTTAGGTCTCTTTTTTTCTCTTTGCTCAAGGAAATAGCACTTTATAATGTTGTTTTATTCCCCTTTTGCATACTCTATGTTGTGTGGTTCAGCAAATTTATGACATCAAGCAGCCAGACCTAAAGGTTATTGTTGTTCAGATGATTTTTTTGTATCATAATCAGAAAATGAGTATGTTCTTCAGTGGAGGCAATGGTTTTCACTAACACCGTCACACCATCTTTGCTATTCTGTCTGCGCAGTAGAGAGGTAACAATGTAATGTGTTCAGACACTGAAAGGAGCCCTTTTTTATGTTGTCTCTCTAGCTTGGACAGCACACCACCTAGTGATTTTGCATGTTTGACCATACCACCATCTTTTCCTTCCCTACTTAGAAATGGCGGGAGCTTTCGTGGCAGTGTTTTTACTAGCAATGTTCTATGAAGGACTCAAGATAGCCCGAGAGAGCCTACTGCGTAAGTCACAAGTCAGCATCCGCTACAATTCCATGCCTGTCCCAGGACCAAATGGAACCATCCTTATGGAGACACACAAAACTGTTGGGTAAGAAGACTGAACAGATCCAGAGGGAAGTTCTGGAGAGCTGGATTAGTTAAGCAGCAAAGCAGCTCTTTTATTAGCAATAGCCCTCTTCTTGAGTTACTGGTGATTCTATATCTACCCAGCTCTAGTCTCATTTGGTTTACAGTGTAAGACTATATAGAAAACCTGTATTCCGTCAAAGAAAGTATTTAGATTACTGCTGGTTTTTCCCCACAGATTGGCAAATGCCTTTCGAGATTTTTGAGTTTTAATAGAAATGTAGGTCTTTTTTTTTTTTTTTAATTTTTTTTTTTTCAACGTTTATTTATTTTTGGGACAGAGAGAGACAGAGCATGAACGGGCGAGGGGCAGAGAGAGAGGGAGACACAGAATCGGAAACAGGCTCCAGGCTCTGAACCATCAGCCCAGAGCCCGACGCGGGGCTCGAACTCACGGTCCACAAGATCGTGACCTGGCTGAAGTCGGACGCTTAACCGACTGCGCTACCCAGGCGCCCCGAAATGTAGGTCTTAAAAACTAAATCGGAGGGGTACCTGCGTGACTCCATAGGTTAAGCATCCGACTCTTGATTTCAGCTCAGGTCATGATCTCACGGTTCATGCGTTCGAACCCTGCATCGGACTCTGTGCTGATGGTGTGGAGCCTGATTGAGATTCTGGCCCTCCCTCTGGCTATGCCTCTCCACTACTCATGCACGCCCACGCACTCTCTCTCTCTATCTCTCTGTCTTTGAAAATAAGTTAAAAAAAAAAAAAACTGAAATAAATTGGAGTCCTTGAAGACTCTTATAGACCAATATGCTGCTTTCAAGCAAGTGCAGTATTATTGAGGCCCAAACATGTTGTGACTTACCTAAGGTGAGAGCTGGTAAGTGACAGAGGGGATAGCCACTCCTCCTGATCCCTTGTAAATACTTTGTACTATACTACCCAACCCTTGATTCTATTTCTGTTTTTTAGAATGTGAACTTTGCAAAGGTGGAAGGCCTGAAAATGTTCAAATAAGTATGGGAGGGTTTAGGGCTTCCATTTTGGGATCCATGGTAGAGGTAAGTCAGGGAATTAGTCCTCCTTCCTCTCCTCCTTCTGCGGACATAAAACTGTATCTGGCCGATTCTTATTAACCCGGCAGCCCTATCATGTTTCACTCCAGGGACTGTACACAGCATACATACACAAAGAAGCCATGAGTTGCCTGGATGGCTGTGAGGAGTCCAGTTCAAGCTGAGCTCGTGACCAGAACTGTCCCCCTTTCTCTTGAGCTGCCCAGACACCGCTCAGGGTCCCTGATTGCTATGTTCCTCTCTGTTCTCCAGGCAACAGATGCTGAGCTTTCCCCACCTCCTGCAGACAGTGCTGCATATCATCCAAGTGGTCATCAGCTACTTCCTCATGCTCATCTTCATGACCTACAACGGGTACCTCTGCATTGCAGTAGCAGCGGGGGCTGGCACAGGATACTTTCTCTTCAGCTGGAAGAAGGCAGTGGTGGTGGACATCACAGAGCATTGCCATTAGCGTTCAACTCCATGGTGCGGCCTTATCGATTGCAGTGGGAAGCAGTTCAAGACTGAAAGACATGATTCCTACTCCAATCTTCCCTTCTTGCTCCTTATTTCCTTTCTCTCTCTCTCTCTCTCTCTCTCACACACACACACACACACACACACACACACACCCCTACTCAACAGAGGCTTAGCTTTTAGTCTCTGAGCTAAGGTGATAACCTCCCTGGGTTTTTTCTAATGATCTGAGATTCCCTCAGAATCTCTCCTCCCTCATCATCTTATATCCAAGTTACATGTTCTTGTCCAAGCCAGGTAGCTTTCTATTCAAGACTTGATCACCTGCTTCCTTTTTTAGTCCTCTGTTTTTATTTTGTTAACAGACAGTGTGTGAATTTGGTGGGTTTCTCCTGGGTCGGTGATGGAAGGAGATTCTATTCAGCTAGGATTGATGGAAGCTGAGGGAAATTCTGGCCCAACTAAACCCAGAACCCAAACTTAACACTTGAAAGTGAGTTCCAGTCTTTGGATTCGATAAGTGTGAAATACATTGTGCCTTTCACTAGTTGTGATGTGTTGCGTCAGAATCTTTGTAGTGTCTAGAAGGGTGGTTTGAGACTAAACACAGGGCTGGGGCGTGCAGAAGTGTGCATTCTTAGGTGGCTGGCTCATGAACTTGTGTTCCTACTTGACATTTTGATTAGAACGAACTTGTCAATCAAAAAAAAAAGATGACAATCAATTTGAGAAAATAGAAATAGATATTTTAAAATAAAACCATTGATACTTTGACTTGGTACCTTGTGGATTGTCACAGCTGAATGAATCAAGAGTTTGAATCATTTTCTTTCGTTATTGTTTTCTTATGTTGGCCTCTAAACCAGTGGTTTTCAAACTTGAGCATGCATCGGAATCACCCGAAGGGCTTGTTAGAGCACTAGCTTCTGGGCCTCAACCCAGAGCCCCAAAATTGGCATTTCTAACAAGTTCCCAGGCGATGATTCTGCTGATGGTCAGGGGACCATGCTTTGAAAATCTCTGTTTTAAAACTAAGGAAGTGTCACCTGGTGCGGTGAGCTACCTGGTATTGGGCACAGGAATTTGAACTGCTGGTGGTAGGTGATATGTCTAAGCTTAACTCGTGTACTAAATGCTGCTGGTCAATACTTAATCATTCCAGAAACATCTATTCTGCTCCAGCTGTGTGTATGTGTGCCCAAGGGCTATAGCCAAAGTAACTTTTATCAGTATGTATGAAATCACTAGTCTTTATTTTTAAAGGTCTGTGGTTTCTTAGAAGTAGCTTGAAGATTGAGGAAGACCTTTGAGCTGCAGTATAAAATCAGCTAGTCATGGGTCAGAAGGGCAAAAAGCCCAGCCCTCTCTTTGGAGAGGTTTAGGGTATGGTCTGCTGATCATCAGATTTTCCTCAGCCCCCAGCATCCATGTCCACACCAAGCAGGTCCTCATCTTCTACATGACCATCTTCGTTACTCTCTGGGGTTTCATTAGATCACATGTGGCCAAAACCTCTTTTTCTCAATGAAGAACCACACTGGATTTTTATTCTGTTCACTTGTTAGGTTACACTGCAGTCTCGTTCCCAGTCCAAACTACCTGCATGAAGTGACTCTTCCTGTGCTAGTCTGTTAAATCCTGCCCTCCTTGGTGCTAGACTCCAATCGTGCCTCAGGGCAGAGGAGACAAAACACAACTATTCTGTTGGTCTCTGTTGTGGTTTTGAAGTTTGTACTTTCTCTGTGGGTGCCAGTTAAATATTGGAGAGCAAGGAATGTGTACTTCCATGGCTTTAAGTCAAGAGAGGGTTATCAGCTTCCTGGATCGAGGGTAAAATCTAAGAACCAAGATTTAGAGTTTTGTGCTTTTTTCTTATTCCAACCACTTGTGCTGATATTTAGCAAGAGTAGAGTGAATGACAGGTAGCGACAGAGTCCAACAGGAAGGTGTAAATAGCCTGTTATTATCTCAGAAGCCAAGGAATAATAAAACCATGAGAAAATAAGACTCAATGTTTAATAGTGACCCTGGTGCTCTCTGGAAATCTTGGCATGAGCTGCTATAAAATATCCTTTTCAGAAACAGGACTTTATCAGTAAGGTAAGAAAAATCGAGGCCAGTTAAGACAAAGTGCTGTGAGTTTGAAACTCAACAGAGAAACATCAGTTTGGGATAGGTCTTCAGGTATTCAAGATCGAGTGTCATGTAAAACCTGAATTCCAGCAATTCTTAGATTAGGTTGCCAAAGGAAGAAGCTAGTGAAGGAGAAACAATTTAAACCTTAAATTCCATCTTTCTTGAGCTCTTGGATTGTGTTAATGATCTCATTGACTTTGATTTGTGTATCTCTGTTCATCAGTTTAGTGCCTGACTTCTTTGTTCCTTCTGGATCCAAATTTCTTTTCTTCCTTCCCTGTTCAACATCTCTTAGAAGCCTGTATCGCCATTTCTTTGGCTTTTCTTTCCCTTTCTGTCTTTTCAGTCTTTAATCCCATGTAACTGGTTTATTAATCTCCTTAGCCCTCCTGATGCCGTGGACATAGCTGTGCAGTGGATCTAGATACCCGTCAGAAGTTGTAAAACCCCTTAAGCACGCTTTGAGGAGAAGTTGTTCTGCCAGAATGTCTATAAAAAGCTGAGTAAAGGGCTGCCTACGAGTACCACCTGCAGAGTCCCAGAATCTTAGGTGCTGTCTCCAGTCTATGTTGGAGGAACACTCAGCCCCTCATTTTCCACGAACAGGGAATCCTCTGTGTCCAACAGCAAATGAAAAATTAAGGTTTCTTCACTACTTCTATGGTAGGACTGTCTGGAATTCTATTTCAGACTGAGGCTCTGGGCTTGGGATCTAGCCACAGAGTTTCTTATAAGGAGCTGGAAGGGGAGGGGGCAGGGGTTACATGTTCATGTCCTTTAATTTTGATCCTGCTCTCTCCAGCTGCTTCTTTCAGAAGATACATCTAAAGATACAAAGTCTGCATTTGATATAATGCCTTAATCACTGAGTCTACAATTAATGTTGACCGTTTTAGATTGTAAGCTCCTGGAGAGCAGTATTGCTGTAGTAGGAATGTTTTAACAGTGTCATATGTAAAAGAACAAAATAAATATTTTGATTTTGTGATTCTATGCATGTCTTTCTGCCCAGAGTGACAGTAGAGTAAGTGGTCTTTTTGTTGGCCATTACCATCAATTTTTAAGATGTCAGACTTTTAAGTGTTTTGATCCCTTTACATTTTCATCCTACTCTCCTCAAAATGACAAGCTAGTACATGCCAGAAGATCTACATGACATTTCTCACAGCAGACAGGGTCTTCATGAAGCTGCAAATAACTCAGCATACCACGGATTCCTGAATTTAAAAGCTAACCCACCATATCCTAATCTCTTCTTCGGTGTTTATGCTATTGGGCAAGAGGCCCTGAGTTGGGCCTCTAGGATCTTCACGACCAAGGCTTGAAGTGAGCACTGGCCCTGCCTATCCCTTCAGAAATGCCAGAACGCTGCTGTTATCTGCCATTCCTACTCACTGGCCCCCAGAAAGCATCTTACCATCCAGGACCATCCCTAGTCACCTCCATAGTGTAGTATGAGGAACATGGACTTTGGAGTCCAGCATACCTGGGTTTGAATCTTGGCTCCCCCACTTACCAGAAGTGTGACCTTGGGGCACGTGGGTGGCTCAGGTGGTTAAGCTCCAACTTCGGCCTGGGTCATGATCTCACGGTTCGTGGGTTCGAACCCTGTGTTGGGCTCTGTGCTGACAGCTCAGAGCTTGGAGCCTGCCTCGGATTCTGTGTCTCCCTCTTTCTGCCCCTCCCCTGCTCATACTCGCTCAAAAATAAAATTAAAAAAAAAAAAGAAGTGTGACCTTAGGCAAGTGATTTTGATAATCCCTAAACCTTAGTGTTCTCATTTATAAAAAGGCAATAATAGTACAATTTTCAACTTGGGGGCAATATGTATAAGCCACCTAGCACTTAATAGGCAACTGGACGATAGTAAGTATATTTTTGATGATTTTTACTCCAGCTTTCAGGAACTGAAAGGTAAGCTCTTCGGGATGAGGTTAGTATCTCTTCACAAGCACCTGACCATTTTCTAGAAATGAACACTAGGACCTAAGGAATAACAGTTTATGCATGGGGTTTTAGTTGTGTCTAAAAGGATTTATGCTGCAATAAGCCCTTATGTACTCATCTGGTAAATGTCTCCTGTATACATAAAATGGCATGGAAATTTCCTGCGAACTGGAATGGCATCCTCTCACTCTGCCCCTGATAGATAGCCTCACATTCTAGACCCAGCCGGGGGAGACCAGGAGAGCAGTGTAGCCATAAAGTTTAGACATGGGTTCAGAAATCAATATGCTTGGGTTCAAATCTCAGCTCTACCCCTTAATAGCTGAGCATTAGTTTCCCCTTTTGTAAAATTAGGATCTAGTACTCTCACAGGAGTTAAAGATTAAATGAGATAATCTGTATAACGCACTCCATACAGTGTCTTTACATATACAGCCCCCTGAGTATTGGCTGATGAGGAGGGAAGAAGAAATTAAGGAGGCTCAATGTTTTCATGCTTCTGTGCCTATTCATGCTGGGAAGTGACAGCTTAAGACAGAAGCTAGTTTCTCTCCCCTCCCCCACCCCGCCTTTTTTTTCCTCTTCTATCCTGGCCTTTGCAGGCCTCGAGGTAATGTACTCAATTTCCCTATCTGGAGCCTGATTCTTGCTCTGTCTTTAAGACCATAACAGAATTGAAGGTCTTTTATCAAACTGGAAGTATAAAGGTTTTGAAAGAACAGTTGGAGAAAGAGAACTATATATCCTTTTCTATCACTGCCTCTCCCATGTGTATTTTTTTAATGTTTATTTTTGAGAGAGGGTGCATGCACAAGTGGGGGAGGGGCAGAGAGAGGGGGACAGAGGATCTGAAGCGGGCTCTGTACTGACAGTAGTGAGCTCAATGTGGGGCTTGAACTGTGAAATCATGACCTGAGCCAAAGTTGGACACTCAACCGACTGAGCCACCCAGGTGCTCTGCCTCTCCCATAATCTTTTTACCCAGCCTTAAACTACCCCTAGAACTAGGTAAAATCTTGCCAAAGGGTCTCTTCAGAACTGACAATTCCAGGGGCGCCTGGATGGCTCAGTTAAGCATCTGACTCTTGATTTCAGATCATGATCTCACAGCTCATGAGTTTGTGCCCCACATTGGGTTCTGCACTGACAATGAGGAGCCTGCTTGGGATTCTCTTCCTCTCTCAGCCCCTCCCCTGCTCAAGTGTGTGCACGCATGCACAGTCTCTCAAAATAAATAAATAAAATTAAAAACTGATGACTCTCGAGGCTCCTTCTACCACAGTTGGCAATTCACTGTAGTTGAATTAAACAGTGAAAACAATAGGACGTGATTTTTTTTAAGGTTTTTTTTTTTTAGTAGTCTCTACACCCAATGTGGGGCTTGAACTCACAACCCCGAGATGGAGTCACATGCTCCTGAGCCAGCCAGGCGCTCCTCCTCCCCTCTGATTCTAAATTACCCTCTCAGATTAGCTCCTGGTGGCAAAAATTCTTAGGCAAGTTGGAAAAGGATGGCAAATTGGAATGATGGGAATATTGTTAGCATTCCTATTATCATGTTTCCCTCCACTGCCTGTCCCCCCCCCCCCCAAAAATTATGCCCAAACTAGCTACAAAGCCATTCTGTAAACAGATTCTGGAAACCCACAGCTTGATCACATTTATACAAAATCACTAGAATCTAATCTCCACAAGGGCAGAGATCTTGGATTTTGTTCACTGATGTTACTAAATGCCTAAAATGGTCCCGGCACATAACAGAAACTCAATAAATACTTGCTGAAGAGACAAGTTGAATGAGTCCGTGACAGGGATCAACTGCAAGTGTCCTGTGTTTAGACACTCAGTAAAGGTGGGAAGAATGATGTCGCCTCTTGGAGCAATTACCTTTCAAAGTCTTGAGGTTAACAGTACTATTCTTATACTTCATTAAGGGTGTTGCACACTTTTCCAAAAATAGATTTATTTTTAAAAACAAAAGACAAGTTTTATAGAGTCAAATTTTCCAGAGATAAACTAGAGTTTGGATTTCCACTTAGAGTGAAAGGTAAGCATTAGTTATCTCATGCAGAAGTATTTCTCTGCAGGAGTAAAACATTCTGCTTGACTTCAAGCACTCAATTCTCTAAACCTTATTTGTACTTCTGCCATGATTTTACTCCATTCCAGGGCTCTGGCATGCAAGATAATCTGCCTCTAAAATTCAAAACTTCCAAATTGAGATGAACGATTGTTGGGCTTGGGTTGAGGTTTATAACCAATTCGATCATTAATCATTTGTTCCCGGTTCTTGGGGTCACTGCTGAGCCCAATGGCACCTTCTCCATCACTGATTCCTACGACATCCACTTCTTCCTTTTGTTTCTTACGGTTCTGAAAGTATAAAAGTTTTAGGATTTAGGCAACATTCTTTCCATTACCAAACATTTATTTAGCACCTACCATGCACTAGGCATACGGTAAAGTCTAGGGTTAGGGTCTTTGGAATAATAAGCTGAAATCCTAGGTTTAAATGGATAATAAGGGTACAAGGGGGATACAGGGATATAGTGATAAAAGATATAACCCCTACCCTCCAGGATGTCACAGTCTAACCGGGAAACAGGTAAACAGACAGTGACAACACAGGGTGATCGTGGCTATGACAGAGGAAAGTCCACACTACCAAAGAGACACAAAGAAGGGAGAATTGGGTGTGCAGTGGTAGAGCTTCAGAGCAGGAAGCTGCAATTAGAAAGATAAATAATAATGAGAAGATGGATGTTAGCTGAACGTACTGTGGTCATCATTTCACAATATCTGTCAATCACACCATCATGCTCTACATCTTAAACTTACACAGTGATGTATGTCAGTTACTCCTCAATCAAACAAGAAAAAAAAAAAAAAGAGTTGGTAGACAAGAGGGAGAGAAGGGTGTTTCAGTAAATGTATTATTCAAGAGAACAGATGCAAAAATTAAGTGGTAAAGCAATAACCACCAGAAATTAACAGTTTCCCTAACACCATGAGATTAAATGTAACACAGGAATACAAGGTTTTGTGCTAGCTTATCAAAAGGCCGGTGTTTCAAGGTTTCATTTCGTTTTCACGTAAAAGGGTTGGCTCTTACATCACAAGTGACTGCAGAATTCAAGTCAATGTCTTAGTTTGGTCACTTTTTTTTTTTTTATTTTTTAAGTAATCCCTACACCCAACGTGGGGCTTGAACTCACAACCTCGAGATCAAAAGTTGCATGCTCCACCGACTGAGCCAGCCAGGTGCCCCTCAGTTTGATCATTTTCAAAGACAGACTAACCCTGATCCCGTAACTACTACTACCTAACTATAAAGATGGTATTAGATAATAACATTCCCTGAGAGAATAAACAAATGTTTTATCCAGTGTGCATTAGGAGAATGACTACTCTAGCCACTGGAATCCCCACTATTATTCACCACTTACTAATGAACTCCGCATGTAAGTGCCAAGATCATAGAAGTACACTGAATAAGATGTTACTTTATACATCTATATGTATGTGTGTATATAAAATGACCTTTCCGAGTTACTCTCTAGTTAGTCTACATTACCAATAAGTAACATTACAAAGTTCACCCCAAATACCTTAGTGAAAACAGGTTAAAAGGCAAAGGATACTGTCATTTTATAAGCCATGAGAAACTGAGAATGTCCAAATGGAATGAAATCATTTAAAAGGCTTCCCACCATGAATAACTGCTGACTGTTTCAGAATCCAGAGTCATCAAAATGTAATTAAACTAATTTCAGTAACAAATGAAATACCAGTTTCTGTTGGTTTCATTTAAGTTTAGTTTAAGGCAAAACTATTCCTAAGTTGCTCTAAAACAGGTGAAACTCACTGGATAATTGCCTTTAGTAGAAAGACTGACTCAATAGTGAGCTGATTCTGCAGAGTCAAAGTTCAGTATGCCAACACTTTATGAGACTCATTCCAGCTGAAGTTTAAACCATACTGAAAGGGCATTTCAGGGAAAGAGAACCGAGTGTACAGAGGCACTGAGATTAAAGATAACTTGTCAGCGGAAGATAAAGTGGAGAGATGAGCAAGGACTACGCCACAAAGGGCCTTGTACACCATCCTAAGGAGTCAAGGAGTTATTCTGAGGGTTACTAAAGAATTTAAGTCTTATCAATGGACATCTAATACTGGGGGATAAGCTACACTTAAAAATACATACTGAGGGGCACCTGAGTGGCTCAGTCGGTTAAGTGTCTGACTCTTGATCTCTTGATCTCAACGGCATGAGTTTAAGCCCCACGTGGAGCCTACTTAAAAACAAAACAAAACAAAACAAAACATACGGAGTTCCTACCATCATACCAGACGCTGGGATCTCAACAGTGAAGCAGACAGACATGATTTCTACAATCAAGGCTCCTAATATAAATGCTTTTACAATAAGCAAATCACTGTAAATTATAACAAATGCTGTAAAGTAAAAGAATAGAGTGCTTTGAGAGACCCTAATGAGATGGTGACAGCATGATGGGGATGACACCCTTAACTTGGGATAGGTCAGAAGCAGCATCTCAGACTGAGAAAGTGACATTTAAACAGACATGAAGAAAGGGGGAGAGGAAAATAACATGGGCAAAGGCCACGAGTGATAAAATAGCTTGGCGTATTCAAGGAAATGCAAGAAAGCCAGTGTGCCTGGGGTACAGAGACCAAAGCAAAGAATGGCAGGAGGTAAAACCCGAGGGGCCAGAACATACCAAATCTTGTAGGCCATGGTAAGGAACTGAGATTTTATTCTATGTGCAGGAAACCATGAGTAGTTTTAAGCAGGGGAATGACATGATCTGAAAATTTTTAAAGATCATTCTAGAAACCTGATGGAGAATGGGTTAACGAAACTAAAATGCAAGTAGGAAGACCATTTAAGACGCAACTGATATTGTACAGAGAGAGACGATGGTTACTTGGACTGGGGTTGTAACCGTGGAGACGCACAGGGCAAAAATAAAGGGTAAGGAAAAGCTAGAACTCAGGAGTGACTCCTAGATTTCTGACTTGAGCATCTATATAGATACCCACAAGGGAACACTGAGGTGGAACCGTCTTGAGGAAAAAAATCAAGAGGTTTTTTGTTCTAACGTGTTCAGTTCAGTAGGCTGAACGGTGACCTCCAAAGCTCTCAGGTCCTAATCCCTGAACCTCTAAATGTTGCCTTACATGGGAAAAGGGTCTTTGCAGATGTGATAAGGATCTTGAAATGGAGACATTATCCTGAATTATCTGGGTGGGCCCTAAACGCCATCACATGTATCCTTGTAAGAGAGGGCCAAGGGAGATTTCACAGACAGAACAAGAGAAAACAATGTGATCGTGGACACAGAGATTGAAGTGATGTAGCCACAAGTCAAGGAATACCAGTGGCTACCAGAAGCTGAGAGTCAAGGAATGGATTCTCCTCCAGAGCCTCTGGAGGGAGCACCGGTCCTGCTGACACCTTGATTTGGGACCACTCACACTGATTTCAGATTTCTGGCCTACAGAATGGTAAAAAAATAGATTTCTGTTGTTTTAAACCACCAATTTTATGGTAATTTGTTATAGCAAGCCACAGGAAACTAACACATTTAAGTCTGAGATGCCTGTAAAGCACCCAAACAGAGGTTTCAAATAAGCTGTTGGTATAAGCGTCTGGAGTTCAAAAGTTAAGAGCTATTGTTTTAAATATCCCTAAGGGTTCAAAAGTTGTATTCTTACCTCCAGGTCCTTTCGAATGCTCTCAAACTCCTCGATGTCATCAAGCTTCAGCTCCAGGCGGGTTGGTTTTCGCCGCAGCATAATGAGATCAACCCCAAGGGCCAGACCCAGTGAACTGTCAGCTGTTAGAAATAGCAGAGGAGGAAAAACTGGAGGGGAAAAACCTCAGCTACAAATACAAGATCAATCTGTCAGCATGCATGCTAAATGACTAGTGATACAAAAGACTCATTTGGGTTCACACAGACACTTTGATGTCATCTGATGTATGATTATTACATGATGGAGATCTGTAACTCCGCAATTCCAAAAAAAACAGTTTTCAAGGAAAAAAAAAAGAGCAAAATGCCTATAAAAGAGAATTCTAGGCAATAATCGCCTTAATCTTATGCTCCAGTCACATTTAAAGAAACATTCCACCTTAGAGAATAAAGTTAAAATATCACCTCTTACAAATAAATTAAATAAATAAATAAATCATCACATCTTAATTCGGTATAGTTAGTGGGAGAGTACACAGCCGTTAAATTTGTTCAGCTCTGTGTGAGAACTGTAAGAGATTTGTGAATCTGTAAGAGATTTCCTGAATACTGAAATCAGTTTACTAAATTTTAGGCAAACTCCATATAACTCACAATTCACGGGGTTATCCTCAGGGTCTAAATAGGTCCTAAATGGACAGGTCATTCATTAAACAAACACTTCTTGTGCTCCAGCTACAGAGTTAAAAGGCATAGTCGCAGTCTGTGGGGAAAACAAACACGTAAACAGAAAATTGCAACATGCTCTAATAAGATGATGAGGATAACACGATGGCACCACACAGGCACCCAATCCAGCCTGGGCAGAGTGTGGGGTAGACAGGGATGTGGAAGACTTCCTGGAGGAGATCTCTAAGCTGACTTGTGAAGGGCAGGCAGAGAAAGGAGGGTAAGGAAGGGCATTCCAGGCAGAGAGAACAAGTACGCAAAGAGGCTCAAAAGAACACTCTGAAAACCCAAGGTAATGCTTATGCTACCAAAAAGCAATTTCCTTAAAGACAGTGAAACTCCCCAACTGAGTTCACAACCTGTTGAGGGCAACATCTTTATAGTCTCCATTGCCCCAAGTAGTGTGAATCTAGAATAACCAGTCAGTAAATGTGTTGTTGAATAAACTAAGACACCCCAATTAGACGAAACGAACTTTTCTTGAACGCTGTGCTACGCTTTTCCACTCCCCTTCTTTGGACTTTTATTTTAACACAGAAACCCTCTGAAGCTGACAAAATTAGCTCTATATTAAAAATGAAGTTGAGGCTGTTCAGTGTGGTTAATAAATGTCAGCCTCCTATAAAAACTACATGGTGAAAATTAAATGAGAATGATGTAAGTGAAAGCTCCTTTAAAGTATGTACAATTACAGGGGCGTCTGTCTGGCTCAGTCGGTAGGTAGTGCATACATAGTCTTAATCTCGGGGTCATGAGTTCAAACCCCATGTTGGGTGTGGAGCTTACTTTCAAAGAGTATGTACAGATATAAATTATTATCACATCTATCTAGGAAGTAGCTAGAGACTCTGAAGTATACGAAGGAAGAAATGTATCCTCCCTGGAAGCTTGGAACAGAACCGACTGGCACATTACATTTCAAAATTGCTTTGTATGAAATCAAATACTATCTTGAATTCAATGTAAACAAATGGTAGAGGAAGCCAAAGTTCCAAGGGGGGAATAAGGGAGGAAAGAATATTTAAAAGGAAGAAAAACCCTGCTGTAGGTTTTCTTCACTTTTCTGCAAACTGTGAAAAGCTCGCCACTAGGAGGCAGTACAGAGTAACGGGCAAAAGCGCTCCCTCAGGAGGCCAGAGGGCAGGGGGCGAGATTCTAATGCCACACGCCACTGATCTTGGACAATTAGTTTCATCTTTCACTGGCCTTTAGTTTCCTCGGGTTTCTGTACTCTGTTGTTGCATAGATTGAACGACGTAATGCACAGCAAGTTCCTAGAACGTGACTTGGCATTTAGTCAACACTCAATAAACAATAGCCATTATTATTGTAATTGCCCTTGGGGAAGGGGGGGGGGGCGCTGTCCAGCTCAAGAAACACCAATAGTTTAAGCATCTCCACCCCCAACACGGGGGCAAAACCTTTGCCTTGTTACCTCCGATGTCCCAGCACCCAGCGGAACCCAGGGCCACGCAGAGTTGCCTGGGCTCAGTTTACCTGACGCTTTCGTGGGCATCATCTCACTCGGAGTCAGACACAAAGACCGGGCTGAATACAAACTTCAACAAAAGCAGGCCGTACCTCCTCCTCCGGGTCTTTATTTTTACTTTGGCACTAGAGGGCTCTTTGAGCCCAATCTGTCGCCACTGCTCAAATACACCAAAAATTCACCCAACTCAGAGGAAGGCCCTGGGACAACGTCCCCACAGCGGAGAACAGCACTCCCTCCGCAGCTCCAGAGCGGCACTCACCAGTCCAGGGAGAGGGTGTCCATGGCAACATGGCCCTCCGCTCAGGAGGCGTGAAGCCCCTCTTATTAGGGCCAAGAGCGACAACCGGCCTCGGAAGCCCTCCATTTGCTACCGGAGTTCAGCCCAAGGCCGCGCGACTCGACGCACCTACCTCTTTTCAACCCAGCTCAGCCTCTTCCCGGAACCCCGGCGCCCCCCACGAGTCTCCTGCTAAGCTCACTGGACTACACTTCCCAGACTGCTCTGGACCTCCCTCCTGCAGAACCTCGTCCTCCGCCCGCTTTCCTCAGAGGCTCTTCGATTGGCGCCACGACTCTAGCCTACTACGATTCCCATCATGCTACCCGTCACCCAGGACGCTGCGTCGGCCCTCGGCCCACTTCCGGTCGGTGACGTACTTCCGCTTTGCTGGGCGCGCGGTGGACGGTCTGAAACGCAGATCTCGGCTTCGGCTGGGGTTTCGCGGCTCCAGGGCTCAGCATGGCTTCCTCACGAGCCTCCTCCACGGTACGGATGTCAGCTCACTCCGGCAAGAAGCGCGAAGGGGGCTGGGAGGGTGTTCTTGGGGGTTGGGGCCGCTCGGGAACGGGCTAAGGCGGTGGAGGACTGGGGTGAAAGGCTGCGAGACTCGGTCCTGCCTTAGCGCTGCAGCGTTTTCCTGATCTCTGAGTGCTTGCCTGTGTTTTAGTTGATTTGCATCTCTCACTACAGCCCCTAACGGTAAATACCTCTTCCGACTGGTCCAAAAACGGAGCTCTGAAAGGGAGTAGTGTTGTGGCCCAGATGTATGTCTGTGTCAGACTTCTTAATTGTAATAAGGCCTTCAAACTTCATGTCTGTTGCCTTACGACTGAAAACGTTTGAAATGTGTAGGCCGGTAACTAACTTGTTCCCCCTTAATAATTGCGTTGGTTATTTGTTATCCTTTCTTTCCCCTGGGATGAGCCGAAGCCTCGGGTGTTTCATAAAACCCAAGAAGAGATTGCCACCGAATGATGTAAACATGTGCCAAAGCAAACCTTTGATAGAAAAATTACCAAAAGTAATTCACTAGTTTTTCCAGCCTCTTCCTATCTGCAAAACTTAAGTGATTAAGAGACCCCCCCCCTCCCCCCGGCCAATCAGTGAAGATACCTTAACTGGTGTCCAGCTTGTCCTTTGGGGAGGAAATAGGATTGAAGCTCCATCCTTTGGGGGAAGCCTAGTGAATTGCTAAGACTGAGCCTTAAGTTAATCCAGGTCTTTGATTTAGCAGGCAACCAAAACTAAGGCACCTGATGACTTAGTTGCTCCTGTTGTGAAGAAACCACATATCTATTACGGAAGTTTGGAAGAGAAGGAGAGGGAGCGTCTGGCCAAAGGAGAGTCTGGGATTTTGGGAAAAGAAGGACTTAAAGCTGGAATTGAAGCAGGAAATATTAACATAACCTCTGGTAAGATGCAAATTGTGAGTCCCTCATTATCTTTGTTTTATAATGTCAAAAAATTCTCAATTAAATTTGCATCTTTATAAGGCCATCCTTTGCCTACCCCAGTTAGCAACATCCAGAGAGACTTTTTCTTAAAACCTTTTATACAGTTTTTCTCCCATTCACTTGTTAGTAATTTTACCAGGAATTTATTCAGTGTATATTGAAGTTTATTTATTTTGAGAGAGAGAACTCGAGTGGGTGGGGCCCTGTTCAGCACAGAGCCCGATGTGGGACTCAAACTCATGAACCTAGGCGGAAAGTAAACCTGAGTTGCAAGCTTAACTGACCCATACACCCCTAATAAGTATGTGTTTGGATTCAAATTGATTCCATTTGTCTTCTGAAGATCTAACATAGTTCTGGCATTGATTTGAAGCTACTGTGGTTTGTACCATTCTCTCCTTTTAGTTCTCCAGTTTTCGCACTCAATGAAATATGTTTTAAACTAATAGTTATTTTGGGGCGCCTGGGTGGCGCAGTCGTTAAGCGTCCGACTTCAGCCAGGTCACGATCTCGCGGTCCGTGAGTTCGAGCCCCGCGTCGGGCTCTGGGCTGATGGCTCAGAGCCTGTTTCCGATTCTGTGTCTCCCTCTCTCTCTGCCCCTCCCCCATTCATGCTCTGTCTCTCTCTGTCCCAAAAATAAATAAAAACGTTGAAAAAAAAAATTAAAAAATAAAATAAACTAATAGTTATTTTTATTTTGAAAGAAATGAAACTAGAAATGTGTGAAGTAGAAAATGTAATCCTTATTAACTGGGTTTTTCAGTAATTTAATAAAGCTGTAAAAATTTGTAATTTTTTTCATAAATGAAATTGTGATGTACAGATTGTTTTTATTTTTTATTTTTGAGAGAGAGAGTGAGTGCATGAGCAGGGGAGGGGTCAGAGGGCAGGAGGGAAGGAAAGAATCCCAAGCAGGCTCCACACTCAGTGCAGTGCCCGACATAGGGCTTGATCCCACAACCCCGAGATCATGACCTGAGCCAAAATCAAGAGTCAGACAACTCAACCGACTTGACCACGCAGGCCCCCCCAATTTTCCTGCCTTTTAAAGCTGTGCCATTTAGTTTTTGTGTTTGACACAATCTAATAAACTGAGAAACAGTAAACTATGAATTTATGTACTAGATTAGTTCCTAGAGGTATACACAGACTCCAATTGTAAGACATTTTTTCTCCTATTTGAAGAAGATCTGGTGATTATGCTGATATTGCCTGTTCTTTTTATAGGAGAGGTGTTTGAAATTGAAGAGCACATCAGTGAACGACAGGCTGAAGTATTAGCCGAGTTTGAGAGAAGAAAGCGAGCCCGGCAAATCAATGTTTCCACTGATGACTCAGAGGTCAAGGCTTGCCTTAGAGCCTTGGGGGAGCCCATCACACTCTTTGGAGAGGGTCCGGCTGAAAGAAGAGAAAGGTGTGCCCTTTCTAAATTTTTACCCTCATCTTTAATCACAAGGTTCTACTTTCCAATTTTAGTTGATATTTGTAGTAAGACTTTAATAGAACGTCTTAGGTAATGTTAATAAAATATGTTACTCAGTTGTTTTTATATAGTGTAGCCCATGATCTAAGTAGGCCAGTTTTTTACTCCATTACTAATTTTTTTTTCTAAACTATGAATAGGGTGTTAATATACGAACCCCCCTTCCCCAGTATGGAATTATGAGTTGGGTAAATATTTGTTGTCGAACTTGGAACATTTAGACAACACGCTTTCTTTGTCAGTGACATAAAACATAACGATAAGTACTTTTTGGTTATTATTGAAAGGTTATTCTTCAGATGATGTTCCTCTTGTGATTTTAAGGTCACAGAGTCTCTTAGTGACAGGCTAGTCATACACAGTTATGAGGACCTCCCTTGTCTTTCCACTGTCCCATCTCTCCCTTTCATCATTTTTTTTTTCCCCTGGTTTGCATGGTCTGTGCATTTAGTCACTAAACCTCTCCCATTATCTCGTGTCCATTAAATAGAACCAATAATGTTGGGCCTGTTTAAATAACAAGGGGGAAAAAAAACCAACAACACTGTGTACCAACCCAGTATCTTACAAAACCAGGCTGGCTGGCCACAAGGTGGGAGGAGCGGAGAAGAGGGGGCAGCTCTGGGCAGGTAGCTGGGGGCCAGGAAGGGCTAAAGGACAGACAGAAAAGGCAGCTCCCAGATGGGAGGGGGCTGGTTGTCCTAGTGGGGGAGGGGTGCAAACGGTACTTCAGAAGAGTGGAACTTGGGGAGGGGACCAGTCAGTGCTTTCTCTACCAGAGCACAGTGTTGGAGGAAGTGCTCTGTGCCACCGCTTGCCTACCCCTGGCACTAGGAGAACTGAGCCATGAGCTCTGGGTATGATGGGCTCCTCTGAAGCATGGATGACAGCCTGCCCCTCCCCCCCGGTCCCCTTTTCCTTGAGGCTCAGCTACTCCTCACTTACTGCATTTACTTTGTTTGGGCCCTTACCCCTCATTTATTCATCAACAAACCGACCACTGCCACATTGAAATTGCTCTTTATTAAGGTCACTAATTTATCTTTACTAAGAATAGCCCGGGTACACTGTCAGCTACTCCCTCTTTGAAACACTCCCTTTCATAAACCAAATCCTAATTTTTCTCCTATTTCTCTGGCTAATTCTTCTAAGCCTCTTTCTTTCCCCTGCCTAACCTTTATATACTGCAGTTCTTTGTCTTGATTCTACACTCATCCTGGGTGATGAGATCCACTCCTGTGGCATTGTTTACCACTTATATTCTGAGGACTCCCAGGTCCCAATTTGTAGCCTAGATATTCTGTAGGTACTTCAAATTGGACATGTATAAATCAACTCATCTGTTTCCCTCCCTTCTCCTATTCTCCTTTTAAATAACATTACCATCCACAGTTTTCAGTTGCGTTACCTCCTTTGTAATCCATCAGCAAAATCTAGTCTGTTCTAGATTTGTGCCCAAATCTACCTTCTCTTTTCTCTACCTTCATTGCTTTCACACCTAGATGATTGTAATAGTCCCAGACTTGTGGTATTGCTTGCTTAAAATCCAACAGTGTCTTCTTATTAAACATAGAGTAGGGGTGCTTGTGTGGCTCAGTCTGACTCTCGATTTCATCTCAGGTCATGATCCCAGGGTCATGGGATCGAGCCCTACATCAGGCTCCTGACTGAGCATGGAGCCTGCTTGAGACATTTCTCCCTCTCCCTCTCTCTCCACACACTCCCTCTCTCTCCCTGCCTTTCCTTCTTCTCTCTCACTCTGTCTCACTCAAAATAAATAAACATTAAAAAAAACAACAACAACATGGAGTAAAAAAAACTGTGGATCGTACTCTTTAATCTTTTGTGCCTCTCTTCCTGAATTTAATAGACTTAGTAGCCTTAAGGGTCTTCCTGGAATACTCAAACTCTTTTTCTGTTTTTCCACTTAATATTTCTTTTTCCCCTTTTTTTTTTTTTTAAATGTTTGTTCACTTTTGAGAGAGAGAGACAGAGTGGGAAGGGAGGGGCAGAGAGAGAGGGAGACACAGAACCTGAAGCAGGCTCCAGGCTCTGAGCTGTCAGCACAGAGCCCGACGTGGGGCTCAAACCCACAAACCATGAGATCAGGACCTGAGCCAAAGTTGGATGCTTAACCAACTGAGCCACCCAGGCACCCCTCCCCTCTCTTGCCTTTTAAAGCCTTTTTATTCTTTTGGTTTCAGCATAAATGCCACCTTCTCAAAGAAGACTTTTATCACCTGACCCCTTATAAAGTAAGCCCCTTCTTTATTACCTCTCATAGAATGTTACTCTCTCAATAGCATTTACAAAGGGTATACTTTTAGTGTTGTTTGTTTATCTTGCAACCAACAGCAAAGTCTTACTATGGCGACCCTTAGGTGAATGTCTCGAGTCCCTACTGCCTCTGTCTTAATTCAGACCACCATTAAGATTCCAGGGATTCCTAAATAGTAGACTGATTTCCCTGCCTTTATTATTCCCTCTTCAATCCATTCTCTCTACTTCCCCAGGGATCTTTCTCAAAGGTAAACCGTCTTTACCATGGCATGAGGAGCTCTTTGTGACCTGGCCCCTTCTTCTGTTTGTAGCCCTAGCTTTCACCAGCCATTTTCTGGCACTTGGTGCTCCAGCCATACTGAACTATTTGTGATTCCAAGTTCAACTGTTTTGCTGTCTCCAGACCTTTGCATTTGTTGAACCCTCAGCTTCAGTTGTCCCATTCTTGACCTGTCGACCTTACTAATTGAGGACTCAGTGTAGGGAACACCTCTTTGAAACCATCCCTGATTTTCCCTTCAAGCCTAGGTTAGGTATTTCTTTTATGTTTCCCCTCAGTGCCCAGCACTTACCACTGTCAATACTTACTATAACGTATTGTGGTTCCCTGTTACTTTCTGTCCATCCACCTTCTCCCTTCTCCGCCCGCATTCCCAACCCCCAGGATTATGCTACTTGGAATGAAGAACTGCTGCTTAGTCGTTTTTGTACACTTAGCACCTCAGTCCGTAATGCAGCACATTGTGGCATGGAGCAAAAGTTGGCTGTCTTCACAGACCAAGTGGTAGCAGTGTTGGGGCTCGTTGACTCTAAACTGAAAACAGTAATTGCTTATAGTTCAATTTAAGCAATCTCTAAATAAAGAAGACCGAGTGAAAGAAATCACACTGGAGGGATGCCTGGGTGGCTCAGTTGGTAGAGCATGCGACTCTTGGTTCTTGGGGTCGTGAGTTCGAGTCTCACATTGGGTCTAGAGATTACTAAAAAAATGAATAAACTTAAAAAAAGAAGAAGAAATCATGCTGGAAGTTTAGGCATGATATGACTCTTAAGGTTGCTTTAAATGGAGAGAGTAGGGCAAGCTTTCTCCCTTCTTAGATACATTTTTCCTAGCTTTATCTCAACTCCATTTAAATTCTGGTCTTTTTTGTTACAGGTTAAGAAATATCCTCTCAGTGGTTGGTACTGATGCCTTAAAAAAGACCAAAAAAGATGATGAGAAATCTAAGAAGTCCAAAGAAGAGGTAAAATATGTCTTTGGCGTCACAGTAATAAAGTGAAGGAAATGAGGGGTTAGTTCTCTCATTTTCTGTTTTCAGGGTTTGCTTTGCTAGAGGGAAGGGAAGTTTTGAGGATTCTACCATTCAGGAATAATTGTTGACCATAGTTTGTGGTTCCTGTGTGGGTATAAATGAAGGTAGGTAGGTTTCAACACATGGAAAAAACCATAGCATTCCTAGTGTAACTTCTAACAAGGAACCGGAAGCCATCCAATAAGAGTTCATAAAAACACAGTGGAGGGGCACCTGGCTGGTTCAGTCAGTGGAGCATATGACTCTTGATCTCAGGTTTGTGAGTTCAAGCCCCACATTGGGCATGGAGCCTACTTTAAAACACACACACACACACACACCATAAAAAGCACACACACCTGATTTCATCCTATGACTGAACTAATTCACCTTTTTTCTAGGCAGTTACAATAGAGAACTGACAGCTAGGAGGAGCAGGAATGCTTCAGACTTAACATTTCTGCTCTTAATTTAAATTTCAGTATCAACAAACCTGGTACCATGAAGGACCAAACAGCCTGAAGGTTGCTAGACTGTGGATTGCTAATTATTCGCTGCCAAGGTACAGAGAGCCTCTAGAAGGAGAAAGAAGCATATTTTTTCTTGTTTTCTCTTAAGCAGTGATGATCTGTTTTATAAAGACTGGTGGTTCTTAAATGAAACTGATGGTAGGGATACTTGTGTGGACCTTTGTTTCCAGTCTGTCTGTTCACAGTAATGTTTCTGTGTCACAGGGCAATGAAACGCTTAGAAGAGGCCCGTCTCCATAAAGAGATTCCAGAGACAACGAGGACCTCCCAGATGCAAGAGCTGCACAAATCTCTCCGGGTGAGATGCTCTCAGTGATTGTCTAATATATTAAGGGCTCTTAACTACACATTAGATTTCCTACTTCGACCTGCCTCTTGGAAGGTACAGGCAACTGTGGCAGTTAAGGTGGCAGGAACCTGCTGTAATTAGGACTCAACAGAGGCCTGTGGGTCTACACTTTAGTTCCCCCTTGAATATGTCAAAGCTGTACTTTAGCTCTCTCTATGGTTTTCCTGGGTGTGTTGAGCTGACACAGAAACTAGTGATACTGCTAGTGTAAAAGACAGCATGTGAGTTCCAGGTGAGCCTTAACTCCATTCGTTAACATAAGTATCTCCTAACAACAAAAGTGTAAAAGAATCTTGTGGGGGTGGGAGGGTGGCTAAAACCAGAAAGTTGTTTTTTTTATTGTGGAAAAGCTAAAAAACTCTTGGATCAGCCTATTAATGATTACTGTTTGTCTTTTCTTTTTTTTTTTTTTTTTTTTTTTTTTTTTTTTTTTTTTTTTTTTTTTTAAGTCTTTGAATAATTTCTGCAGTCAGATTGGGGATGATCGGCCTATCTCCTACTGCCACTTTAGTCCTAATTCCAAAATGCTGGCCACAGCTTGTTGGTAAGTCCCATGATATTTTTTCCTAAATGGAGGATAGGTTTGGGGGGGGTGGGGGATCAGCCTTTTTCTTAGGTGCTCATTTCTGTGTCCTTTTCCTCTGCTTCTCATGATCGTACCAAACTAGAGATGCCAGTACTTTCCCCTTATATTATACAAGATAGTCTGGGTATAATATTTCTGCCTGTTCACAGGGGACACCAGAGATCTATGACACATCAGTCATGCTCTTGATGCTAGCATTTTGGAGCAGATAAATAGTGGATTTATAGACTGACCAGTATCCACACCTCAGTATAGCTTTTCTTTTTAAGTTAGATAGCCCAGGCAAGGTACTCTGTAAGCTTCAGTTGCCTTATGTGTAAAGGAGGATGAGATAATGTTGTAAACCATTTTACCTTAATAGTGCGCCTTATGTGGTAAGGACTCAGTAAACACGAATTACTGTTTGTTGTTGTTGTTTTCTAGTTATTGCCACATATGCAGAAAGCCCTTAGGATGTGATAATTTTGTTGTTCTATTTAGTGATTCAGTTATTTTCCTGGGACATGGCCATCAAGTGAGAAGAGAAACTTCCTTACTTTGCATGCACAGGAACTACTTGACTAGATAGAAATTGAGCCTGGTTCAGGAGAAAGCGAAGGACCTACACAAATCCCCCCGCCTCTCCAAGCCTCCGCTACCTTCCTTAGAAGTAGAAATGATCATTCCCGCATTATGTACCTCACAGGTCTATTATAAGGATCACTGAGATGATAGGAATAAAAGTAATTTGTTGGAAATTTTCTGAAATAAAGTCTTTTTAAAAAATTTTAGGGACTTTGTAAGTAGTAAAGTGCTCTTCATATTTAAGGAGTTAGTATGATTATTAATATTACTGTTGGATAGTTTAATTTGTCCTCTTTTTCCTCACCGATCACTCTAGACGTTGAGGAGAATAGCTTGTGCTATATTAACTACAGTCCTGTAGAGGCCTCGGGTTGCGTGAAGACGTGCATATAGCTTTCTTCTGTAAACCATCAAACGATAAGCTTTCTTTTTCTGTGTGCCACTGTAAAGTTTTTTGGGGGTGAGAAAAGATTGTGCTTTAGGAATGTTACCAAGGTACCTTTTCCTTCCCAGACCAACCCTGGCTGAGATGCTTTCCTTTGTATTTGATAGGAGTGGGCTTTGCAAGCTCTGGTCTGTTCCCGATTGCAACCTCCTTCACACTCTCCGAGGTGAGTTAGAATCTTGTTTATATGTCACTCGTTTTCCCAGCGTGAACCCTCTTCAGACAGTGAAACTAATACTCTGCCTGACACTCAGACCCAGTGCACACAAGATTCATTTTTGATTTGAATTGACAGGGTTTGGTTTTCTCTGACCACAAGGTGGGAACATAATGACCTTATACACAAACCACTATTCTCTTGTGTACAACCCCACTCTGGCATTGTACAGTCTCTAGACCAAATAAATAAAGGTTGTTTGTGTTTTGCACCTTTTTTATTTTAAGTTTATTTATTTTGAGAGAGAGGCAGTGTGAGGGTGCGGGAGCAGAGAGAATCTGAAGCAGGCTCTGCATTGTCAGCATGGAGCCCGATATGGGGCTCGAACTCAGGAAACCCTGAGATCATGACCTGAGCTGAAATCAAGAGTCGGACACTTGACCGACTGAGCCACCCAGGTGCCCCTTTGTTTTGCTTTTTTTAATGTAATTTAAATGTTTTAAGTTTATCTTTCATTTTGAGAAAGAGCATGAGTGGGGGAAGGGCAGAGAGGGAGGAAGACAGAATCCCAAACAGACTCCACTCTGCCAGTGCAGAGCCGAGAACAGGGTTTAAACTCAAGAAACTGAGATCATGACCTGAGCTGAAACCAAGAGTTAGACGCTCAACCAACTGAGCCACCCAGGCACCCTTGTAATTTAAATATTGATTTAAGTTAAAACAGTTTTTTTTTTTTTTTAATTTTTTTTTT